TTGGTCCACCAAGGGTACTTGGCTCTCTACAACAAGTTGGTAGCAAAACTAAAAACAGAATTCACCTCGGTTTCGGCGTGGTAGTCCGAGCTGTGGTTGTCATCAATCTGAACTCCGAGAACTGGGTTGGTGGCAGGTGGTAGGTGTCCGCAGGGCCACCAAGTGTACTCGGCTCTCTACAACAAGTAGGTAGCAAAACTAACAGAATTCACCTCGGTCTCGGCGTGGTGATCCGAACAGGTGGCAGGTGTCAAGAAAACTTCGCAAGTTTTCTACAACAAGTAGGTAGGAAAGATAAAAACAGAATTCACCTCGGTTTCGGCGTGGTAGTCCGAACTGTGGTTGTCATCAGTCTGAATTCCGAGAACTGGGTTGGTGGCAGGTGGTACGTGTCTGCTGGTCCGCCAAGGGTACTCGGCTCGTCGACTAACAGCAGAACTAAAACCAGAATTCACCTCGGTTTCGGCGTGGTGGTCCGTACTGTGGTTGTCATCAATCTGAACTCTGAGTACTGGGTTGGTGGTAGGTGGTAGGTGTCTGCTGGACCACCGAGGGTACTCGGCTCGTCGACTAGCATTGCTATGCTGGTACAGACAAACATTTTAATTACAAACATCTTTATTAGGTACTTATTGCATTCTCATCACATCTTAATTAAAATAACATGACATAAGATATTAACAGAGAGCACAGAAATGAAAAAAAAAAAAAAAAAATATTCAAATGAATGGGAGCAAACGGTGAGGAGCTCAGGTTGCTTGCTACTATGTTGCTCTGGTCACGATAGTAGCCCTGATGTTTAGTCCTAATCCTAACCTTTTCAAATATTATTCTAAGCCGGCATCGCAGGGCATCTTTAACACCACGTCTGCCATCAATCATTACACAGTAAAAAATAACAAGAAAAAGCAAATGTAAAGTAAACAAATATAATTTACGCGAAAATCCGCTTGCCAAGTGTGGTGACTATGGTGATACCGACCACCCCAATAAAAGGAGACCCGTGTCCAGGAGTGGATCAATGTAAAACAAGTAAAGTAAAGAAATACCTGTTGGAGTATATCTCGTTAAAGTTGATATGATGGCTAGGGTACTCAGGAAACGAGTACGCGCGTCGCGGGATCGCAGGGTACGTGATCGGGAACGGGACTTCAATTTCTGACTCTGTTGATATTCCAGACTGAAAAATAATATCAAAGTAATAAATTATAAGACTCCGCGCTGTAGCGGCTAAGAATTCTGGCACCCCTAGTCCACTCAAAGTGTTACGTAAATGGTGACGTAGAGTTTTTGACCTCGGCTGAGAATATCTGTCTTTTGGTCAGATATTAGACTATTTGGTCAAACGCATGGTGGCGGTGCATGATCCCAAAGATGGTTGACGTCAGGTAGGCGGCCGTTCAAAAAACATTGCCAAATCCTTTTGCTACATGGTTTTGTTCTCCAACAAAGAATGTCGGGCCGACCCCAACTGATTTGGGATAAGGGGAGGCAAATGATGATGAGTAGTAATATTTAAAAAAATATATGATAAAAGTGGACGCAAAAGTTCCAACGCAAAGATATAGTATGAGATATGACAACACACTTAAATTAATCTATTAATATGTCATATTTATACAATCCAATATTTTACAACGCAGGTATATTGTACACACTAGAGTATCGAATACCAAAAAATTGAAAATCTAGCGAAATTTACAGGATTGTTTCCCGCTTTATGCATGTAATAATTATTAATTTAATGAATTTTATCATTTTAAAAGCTGACAGGCTTTAATTTATTTGCAAATTACTGAGAATATCTTGCTTTTATAATTATGTAACATTACTCATTCATTACAGAAAATGGTTGATGAAATTGGTATACCAATTTCATATTTTTATGAGTAGGTAAGTGTTAATAAGAGACTCGCCATACAGTCACTACTAGTCACACTCATCAAGTCATTGGTCCATCTCACCGGAGGATATCCAAAATTTAATCTACTTTATGGATGCCTAGGCTGAAAGAGATAGAAAAAGGTTACTTACAGCTGTAAAAATTATGGCCAAAAATATGACCATTCTCTTCATAATGAAGCCACTGACACGACCTTCGACACAGCTGTTGATGTACTAACTATCATAGAAGGTCGACTCCTAAATATAAACTTGCATTGTTTTACAAAACACTTCATTGTAAAACGAATTTGTTAGGGTCGATTGTTAGCTAAACCCAGCCCATGAATTTCAAACAAAGTATTGTCGAAATGTTTTTTACAAATAGTCTTCCGCACCACAACCATAAAGACCATAACAGCCACAACAGTCCACTTCTGGACATGGGCGTATTACCATACTCACCACGCTTGCCAAGCGGATTGGTGAGCGCAGTTCAAGATGTTGCATTGACAGGGAACGCTGCTGCCCATTCCCTGGATGATTGTCGCTTTTTTAGACACCTACGGGTAGAATTGGGGTGATGATATTCTAAGCCGGCATCAAACGGACTTCATCACAAATCAAACATGAATAATATAAAAGTAATCTATCAGTTTGTGTGGGACATCGTGTCGTCCAAGAACCCGATGAGTCTGTCAGAGTTTTTCAATCGCCTACTACAAGTAGCAAGCCTCTGACATGGATGTTCAACGACCACCGTCTAAGTTATCATAGACAGCAACCGGGGCTGGGCTTAACCGAAACTTAAAGATGGTTCCGTAGCACAGACCGAAGCACGGAACCATCTTTCTTTCGGACAGTCATCTTTAGTTCGGCTTGCAATGTCCTACCCAGACTGGCAACAAATGCACAAAGTGATAAACAGCAACTTTTGGTCACCTATCAAGGATCGAACCCGGAGCCTTCTACGTCGCAGGCAGTCGCAGTACCATGACAAAGTGAAATAAATAAAAATCCGCGAGAATAACTTATGAATCCTTTTCACTATCCGCGTTATTCCCAAAGCGTCTATTCAAAAGCTACTTTCGTAAATAAAATATACAAGGAAGCGGCCTAAAAAAATCTTTTTGCATCTCGCAAAATGTACGAACGCTTCCTCAATTGAATCGTACACGCTATATTTTGTATGTAAGTATTTTTAGCCAGCCTCAGAAGGATGGTTATATTTTCAAAAGTATGGATGAGTGTATGTATGTGAACGTAGACGTAAATCATCTTAACACACGAGCGCTGCAATAATCATCTACATAGATGCTGTGGCCAATGATGATGACGTATGTGGACTAGTAAATTTTTATTCACGAGCTACAGCCCAAACAATTAGACGGATGTTGATATATGAGGTAGATATGTCTCAACAGCAAAAGAAACACTGGCTGATCACTGATATAAATTTTTCTTAATGTGTATTTTAAACTCCAAAAAAATCGTTAAAATTACCACAGTCGGGTTGACGATTTTCTAAATAATTATGCTTGTTGTATTAAAGTAACGAAACGCGAAGTGGCTGGGTGGAGGAGCGAAGCTAAAATCGTATTTGTACCAAATAAAAGAAGTGAACAACCCCGCAGAGCATGCTTACCTACATTGCGATGTAAGAGTTCTGTGTCCAATGCTTTATGCGATCCGATTTTGAGCATCATTGGTTCTATTTCAGCCTATTGCAGTCCACTACTAGACTTAGGCCTCCCCCCGGGAACGCCATAAGGTACGATCTCCGTTTTTGTCATCCAGTCGCTACCAGCCGCCTTCTTCAAGTCATCGGTCCATCTGGCCGGAGGGCGTCCAACGCTACGCTTGCCAAGGCGTGGCCTCCAATCGAGAACCCGCTTATTCCACCGTCCATCGGTTCTACGACAAATGTGATCAGTTAGAACAAAAAGAAACTAATAATGAGCATCTAGGAGTCAAGAGTAAACCTGAAGTGTTTCCGAAAAGAGCAAAAGATAAAAGTTAAATGTGTTTGAAAGCAGAGACATCGTCAATAAAGTACCTACTTAAATCAGCAAATGTTACCTACTCCATTCATTTCATATCTTTACATAGTAAAGCTATAGGCAATAATAATTGTTCAAAATGTTTGTCGGTGTGAGAACCGTGTACAGCATAGGTTAGGGCCTCAACATACATGTTTCCTCCAGACATTTCTAATTTTGGCAATTTCCTTAGCCTTTGCCCAAGTAGTAGCAGGGCGGCCTTCCCAGTTGCAGGGTTCCAGTCCAGTGCCATCTTTGATGAGTTTTCCTCCGATCTTCTCAAGCAGTGGCCTATCCAATTCCATATTCTCAAGAAAATTTCGTCATTGATTGGTTTCTGCGACCTCTGCGTCCGTTTCTGCGTCTTGATACTTAGACAAGGTATTAATAATTATTTCCGGACCAGATTCACGGCCTTCAAAAACGATAAATTCAGGTTTAAGCAATATACGTTGCGGCGAAATGGAAACGCGTTGCTTTACACGCCGACGCTTATGATGCGGTGTTGGTGTTTATTTAATTTCCTCAAAGGCATTACGCGGAAAAAGCATGCTTGCCGCTTCCGTAGTACGGAACGGGGTTTGGAATATAAAATTTAAGTGAAATAGCGCGTTTACAAATAATTTCAGAGCCGATTGATTTGCTGGCCTAATAAGGGTTCGTAGATTGTATATAGGTAAGTGTTTTAGTAAAAAATCTTGCATCCTACATTTTCATTTCAATATCACAAGCCCTTTTAACTATGATGTGGATAAATGTTTTCCTGTCTTTAGCGTCGAGAAATTTAACCAGACGCATCTTTTTGAGAGCTCACGCATAGCCCACTTAGAGGTGTGAAAAAAAGCAAAGAAAACGTGCAAGAAAATTATCCTGGTGCAGGATAATTCAAGTTTATATGAACCCTGGTGTAAGAGTTTTTTAACCGCCCGCGTAGCAGGCCTCTGACATGGTTGGGTAACGTTCTACGAATCATAAACAGTGTGCCCTCCTAAGCACGGAACCATGTTACTTTTGGACAATCAAGGTGGCTTAGCAAGCAATATACTAACTAGATTGGGAGTGTGATAAATATCGACTATGTGACCCACCGGGAACCGAACCTGGAACCTTCTGCGTCGCAGGCAATCGCACCACCACTGCGCCACATCGACGTCAAAAAACGACGATTCTGTTCTGTTGTTTTACCGATTACGGCCGTCCCAATTCACGGCTGTCAAATACGGCCTGTATATGACAGCCGTCAAACCTATACTAAAAGACAAGTCAACAAAGAAAAAAAGACCTTCTTTCATTTCATTAACATGATTTTGACAGCTGTCAAGTCTGACCTATTCGAACGGCCGTACTGTAGTGCGCAATAATACAGCCAGTACAGCTTACAAATGTAATCAAACATTGCACCTACCGAGTAAAATCGACAGCAAATCGAGCTATCCATTTAAGGGTCAGCTTACACTGGTTTTTCTTACTATTTGTATGAAAAACCAGTCCAAATTGGTCCCTTGAATAGGTAGGTGTATTAGCTGCCGGTAGTATACGTACACTATACGAGAAAGGGGTTCGTATTCTCACAAGGGGAGCTCATTTTATAGAGTTATCCAAACACGGTTTACATACCAATCACCCAGTCTACTGCTACGGGAGCTCAGATAGGATAAATACCCAGAAGAACTTTTATAAACACAAGTGAAGGCACAAATACACTTCGCGTGCGAGTTCTTGACCATCCTGAAATATGCGCCTCCTTGTCGCACTCTCCGTGGTTTTGGCATGTGCGACAAGGAGAGACTTATTTTAGGATGGCCAAGAACTCACGCGCGTACTGTATCTTGGCTCCCGCAGATACACTAAAAACTCCGTGTAAATACCTAGTTAAAATAATATTACGCCTTTTAAAAGATGAATGTAGATCTTAAAATCGATATGAAATAAGATCTAATTGAAGATTAGTTTGAGAATATCCATCAATACAAAAACATACAGATATCACGCATATTATATCACTTGCGGGTTGGGCAGAGCGTAAACGGCTTGTAAAACGGCCATTTTATCAAGTCTGACAAGTTTGAGTCATTTATGCTCAATACTCAATTATTTGTGTTTTTTATGATGTGCATAATAAAATAATGTTGCTTGACACAGACATGGACCCGGATATGGTCTCACAATAATGGTAGGTAACACCGGTAAATGTTAAGGTAAGTGTATCACAATAGGACAGGTTGTCAGCCTGTCGCCAAGCAATTATTTTATTAGATGCTTCTACATTGCTTTTCCTTGATGAATTTCTTAGATGCATGTTTTTTTCAAGATACAATTCTTTGTCAAGTCTAGGTAAGTATGTGTGTATATCGTGTTATGTAAGTAAGTACCAAGTGATTGAAGATCCGAATCTACGTGTTTACCGTGTCAGTAGCTAAACCAGTCAACTCGCATTTGTCTCAAGGCGACGTTTCAATCGCCTGAAAGCCAAACTGGGAATACACCAGTCACTCTCAGCTCAACTGTGCTTTTACGAAATAGGTAAGAGCCTACGGGGAGCCTACCTGCCTTTATTTGGCTGTCGTAAGTACTTGGATCTTGACAAAATGTAGGGAAAAGAGCTCGATAGTTTCATTTCATTAATCAATTCACGGGGTGCAGTACGAGACAAAATTGATTTAAATTAGGACTAAGGCTGAGAATCCACCAGAGCTGTGCGAGTAAAATGTGTCGTACGAGGATGTGTAGCTGTGCTGTAGAAATGTGTAGGGGTTTCCACCAAAGCTGTGCGAGGTAAATGTCTAATACGAGGATGTGTAGCTGAGCTGTCAAATGTGCATTAATGTGCGGTGCTAGGATGCGTTACGAAGCTGTGAAATGTGTAAACGGGGAAGAATGCGATGTAGTGGAAACCTCGCAACATATTCCTAGCAGCACATTTCTCGCAACACATTCCTCGCACACATTTCTCGCTTGTTTTGTATGTAGAATGGTCTCGCTTCGCTAGACCCTATTCCACCAGAGCTGAGCTGAGCCAGGCTAGGAAAATGAAGTAATTCTATTGGTGGATTTTTTCCTCGCACACCGCTTAGCTACCTCGCACAGCTCTGGTGGATTCGCAGCCTTATATTAAAGGTAAAGGTTGGCTGGAATAGATCACTGCAAGCGATAAAGCAGCCTTTGCTTACTTCTGGCTCTAAGTTTTCTGTATTGTTGTTTTACTGTTTTATAATGTATGTAAGCGATAAAGTATTAATCTATCTATATTTTTATTAAACTCACAAGTCGGTCGAAGCATATTTTGTTGTAAAAATAGGAAGTCCTATTTATTATAAATAAAGATAGGGCGAGGTCGACACGTAAAGTCCGTTGCTTGCTGCGTCTGTCAGATGCATACCGAAAGTCTCTTGAGTACGTGATTTATAATTATAAACAATAAACTACTGGGTAGGTTTACCTTTACCTTTACAGCCACAACTGCTGGTCATAGGCAGGTATTGCCGGACTCACCACGCTTGGCAGGCGGATTGGCGAGCGCAGTGCAAGATGTTTTATTCACAAGGAACGCTGCTGCCCATTCCTTAACTGAACCTTAGTTGCTTTTTACGACACGCAAGTGTAGAATTGGGTGATTCAAGGAGTGGTAGGTTTGATTCAAAGATAATTTCAAGCAAGTATTCCAACAAACCTTCCGACCATGAAATCAAAATCATGCAACGCGATCAATCTCCTAATTACCATAGCAATACATCATAAAGTGACCGGTGATTATGGTCCTGGCAGGTTACACGGTTCTCGTAAATACCTGGGATTAGACTATTAGTATTATACCTAGAATACCTAGTACAATTAGCGGCAAGCTCCATAGAATAGCAGACGTGACGCACAACAAGACAACTGTCAGACAAGCAATCGTCAGCCGTTATCGATGGGACGCACGTCTGACGTGTGTAGCTTAGTTTCTTCTGTTTCATACATTTTGTATGGAAACGGTTTCAAGCGTCGCGGTGTCGCACGTCTTACGTGTCCGACGATTAGTTGTTTGACAGATGACATCTTAAGTCTTACGTCTAATGTATACTCTGTGAAGCTTGCGTCTTACCCTACCATGCATATCATGTCATTCTGAATACATCACGATGAAATCGATTAATATTTTCGATGAATAGTTTTACAAGATTAAAGCACTAGTTACGGGACAACATACATACATACACACATCACGCCTAGATCCTTTGCGGGGTAGGCAGACCGTAAAAGGCTGTAAAAAGGAACATTTACATCAAACAAAACAAACAAGACAAAAGTTCGAGAGTCACTCAGAAGACTGCGTATCCCCACAGTGACTTGTTGGTGGTGACAGACAACAGTGGTTGTCAGCCTGTCATCTAAAATTGCAATAAGTACACATAAACTCTCAAATCTGTTAGTCGATTGAAAGATATGGGGTGATGCTATTCTATGCTGGCACCACACAGCAACTGAAATTATACCCATGCGTTTGTTCTAAAAAAAGAAAATAGACTCAGGCATCCGAAGATTCAAAAAATATTACTTATTAAAACTTATCGCAATTAATATCGTGTAGGTCTTGTGTTTAGTAGTCTAAACATAACAAACAGTATACTATACATTCTATTTATGGGTACTGCATGTATAGTGGGTGGGTAGGTACGTATGACCAGAGATTAGCACTTGAATAATGTGTGGTCAATACACAGATTGATAGTGTTCACCTCGAATCCCCTTCGATACGAAAATGTACGGGGAATTGTTGCGACGAACATGAGGCCGTGAAAACGCTTAGATAATTCTTTAATTTTTATAAAAATGCAAAATATTAGGCAGATTTTTCGTTTGAAGATCAGCTACCTAGTTATATAGTTAGTTAGATCAATCAGTTATCTATAACTTAGTAATATTAACAGAAGGTTAGATTAGAATATTTTAAAGCGATAAATGTGCAAGGCGCTAAAAATCGCTTGTCATACATAATAGAACAGGAACAAAATTACGCCAAAAGAAAGCGCTGTGCGAACTCGGACGGATAATAGTAGTAGTAAATACCTAGGTACGAACAAAATGTATTGGTAGTAGGTATATTATAGTGTGTCACAGTTATAGTCGCGGAATGCGTAACATTTTGCGGACATATAAATGTTTTGAATAAATATGACGTCAAAGATAGGAAGCAATTTATCGTACCATTATAGCAACTTGTGATAAAACTGTTTCTCGTGTGTTTCCATCAGACGCATAGCAAATCTGTTATCCTTGCCACGTTTAGTCGGTCGGCTCGTCAGTAATGTATGTGTTGCACCTCGGTCCGATTCACACCGTTCGTGGGGTGATGCTACTGTAAACCGGCATCACTAAGGCCCGGCCCGTTCCGATTCACACAGGACAATGCATGCCATACGTCATTGTGGTAGCTAGGAGAACATTGAAGTTAGGCATCTTCGTCACTTACCTAATATACCTACTTGGTATTTTACTAGTGACCGATAGCGAAAACTCAAAACCAGCATGTTTCCTAGATTTTAATTCAAAATCCTTATTTTATCATATACCTGCGACATATATAAATAAGCATGTTAAAAAGTGCGCCTAAGCAGCTATGAACGGGTGGCACAGCCATAAATATAACCATGTCTATCAGTAGCAAAACGCCAGTGACAACACCATTGAACCTAAATTACTTTTATGGAAAAACTGCTTACACTTGACAGTACGGAGCGGGGCGATACGCGCACTCTATAGCTTGCTTATGTATATTCTAAGATCTAACCTATTCTAATTCATCTTGCTTGATACCTAACTGTATCAAGACCAGGAAAATCTGCATATTTTTCTGTAGCATTTTCGTAGCACTGCTACGCCGTAGCAAGCCGATCCAAAACGCAATAATTCAGTTACGCTAATACACCAAGCTTACGTAATTTACGTATGTAACCAGTTACACTTAACTTAATTTTATCCACGTTTGTTTCCTCTTATCCTAAATATATTCTCAGATGTTTAAATCATATTAATTACTGCAAAAGTAATTAACGCTTTCACGGAATTCGTTAAAAACTAGACCCTCGCCGCGAGGCGCGACTACTGTTGGCGGGACGATTTCATCCATAAGGTAGCCATCACTTTTATTTATTTATTCAAAAGCTTA